AAAACTACTGCATATATCAGCATAATGAAAATTCTTTAAGGAAATCTAAGATTGAATCTAGGACCTAATACATATTATACAAAATGTTCTACCCCTGAATTATATTGCCAGAACTTTTCATTTTTAATTTTGAGACAAGATCTCACTAAGTTGCCTAGGCCGGCTTCAAATTTACTGCATAGTTCAGGTAGGCCTTCAATGTGAAATCTTCTGCCTCAACTTTTGGAATAGATGGGGTTACAGGTAGGCACCACCTTGCCCAGCTATGAAAATATTTGTATACGTCTTCTTCCTAGCAGTGCTGCTTCATAGTTGGAATTAAAATCATCTGCTATCGATATCATGCATGGAGAGAGGTAAGGTTTGAGTTTCACTTTTTTGTAAATATAGAGACCAGTTGACTCAGGAGCATTTGAAAGCACCATTCTTTTCCCTTGGTGCTATTCAATCATGCCATTAGGGGACAATGATGGTTTTCTCTTCTTTCCTCACCGTCTTGTAATTTTTTCTTTTTTGCCTTATGACTTTGGCCTGTAGTTCACTGTTGAGAAAAACTGTGCTGGTGAGACTCTTGGACTCATTTTTGGTCTCATATTTCATCAGTAAGGCAGTAGGAGCACAGCTCAGTGGTAGACTGGGCGCCCTGAAGACCCTGGCTTCGACCTTCAGCACCTACCCCCAAATTACCAGTAAGTATGGTGCTTGTTTCAGAGACTTTTGTATAGCTGTTTTGTCAAATTAAGAACATATCCTTCTATCCCAGTTTGCTAAACTTTTTTAAAAATATCATGAGTGGATATAAGCTTTATAGAAACATTTATTTATATTTTATTTAAAATTTTAATTTAAAAATAGGTGTTATTTATTTCTTAGGGGTCGGGCTTCCGCCATGTCATGCATTTGGAGATCTGATGGCAACTTCTGAGAATCAGTGCTTGCCTTCCACCTTGTTAAGGCAGGGTCTTCCTCATTTCTGCTCTTGCACTGTACACTCCAGGCTGGTTTGGGAGCATCTGGGAAATTCTTCTGCCTCTACCTCCCATCTTGCTGTAGGAGTGCTGGGATTATAGATTTGAGCCCCCAAATCCAGCTTCCTGTGTGGTTTCCAGGGATCTAAGCAAGTCGTCACAGATAATGCCTTTACCCACCGAACCATCTCCCTGACCCTTAAGTTTTACTTCTAATTGAAAAATAAATTGTATCTATGATGATGTGAAAGAAAGAAAGAAAGAAAGAAAGAAAGAAAGAAAGAAAGAAAGAAAGAAAGAAAGAAAGAAAGAAAGAAAGAAAAATTGCATATATTTACAGAGTACAACGTGATTTTTTTTTCTTTTTTCATTATCACATACTGATTGTGCAAAGCTCTGGCTTTCACTGTGACATCTTCATGGGTGCACATCTTCATAGGTGCACATGGCAGACATTGATCATGTTAGTTTCCCCATTGCCCTCAGGTGCCCCTTCCTCTCACCCTGGTCCCATTCTTATCCCTAGCAGTACCTCTTCTACTGACATAGTGCCTTTTCTGTTTTTCTATGTTTAGAAAGAAACTTTTATTCTAGCTTCTTTATTCTTTATCTGCACAGGCTCCAACTACTTTGTAGTTAGGATTAAGTATTGAGATTAAAAAAAAAACTTTTTTTTGAGACAGAGTTTAGCTATGTAGCCCAAACTAGCCACTTCCAACTTGATATCCTCCTACCTCCTCCTCCCAAGAGTTGGGATTACAGACATATCCCACCATACCTGGCACGGCTTGCATTTTTATGCTCAGTTATTATGGAGACTCGATATATCTTATTCACCATTCTGTCTACTACTCTATAAAATGGGGATTGTAATTGTATCCACAAGAGTCTTGGGAGATGAAATAAGTTATGTGAAATGTTTAAACCGTGTCTGACATGCAGACAGTGTTTTATAAACATTAGTTATTATTAATAGCTGTTTTTCAGATGAAGAAAACACGGCAGGGAAGAAGGAGTGACAACCATTTGTGGGCATGGTCCAGGACGGGCCAGCTGTTGACTCACGTGCTTTGGTCCGTACACCATTTTCCCTCAGGAGCATCCGGTAGCCTGTAACAATTGTGTACCACCGTCTCCTCATCACACAGAAGGTCTTCAAAAGATTACAAAATGATGCTTACAGACTTTGCTGATTAGACAGGCTCTTGTGTAGATAGTTCTCAGTAGTCAGTGTGTGGAGTGTACCTACTTCTTGGCTGTGTATCGAGTAACAGAATTGTTGGAGGGATTTTTTTTTTTCGGGTCAACCTTTTCCTTCTATAGACTCTTCTTACAAGTTAAGACAACCACTTCACTCATGGTGGCCGACCAAAGAATCTTGCCTTCAATCAGCTCATTAAGGTAACTTTGGAAAGATAGTGTTTTTTTAAAGGGCACTTTGCCAGCTCCCTCAAACACAACTTTGTAAGAAAAACATGGAGAATTACTTCCATATGGCTCCAGGCAATGAGAAACATTTTTGATTAACAACACATTCACTACAATAAAATCACTTCCAAATCTGCCAGAGGACACTAACTTATCTGCTACATCTACTTTCAATTTGATTTTTCACTGTTTTGACTCTCAAAAATAAAACTTTCAAAATTCCCAACGGGTTCATTTAAACAATGGCCTTTCTAGGGCATCACCTGCCCCTACTTGTCAGTGCCAGTAAGCAAATAGTTGCTCTTGTACTGATTTTAGAACCAGCTGCTTTAGGACATAAGCTTCAAGCATTCAAGGGTCTGGCTTTTTTTACAGCCTTACTGCTGATATAATCATTAACATGTCATCTGCATATGCAAATTCTGGTGTAAAGATTACAGCTCCGTGTCATTCATGTGTCTCAACAATAAGCCAGGTAAGCTACTTTACATCATATATTCTCATCAAAAGGCTTTCATTGCTGTATAAAGGCCCAAATGGATATCCTAGTCAAGGTTTCATTGTCTGCATCACTCCCTTGTTGACAGAAAGGAACTAGAACTAATCACAAGGTTTTAGCTGTCTTGACACATTGAGAAAGTGTGCTGTAAACCATTACAATTTGGATCAACATCTCTCCATACTTCATCCTTTTTCAAAAGAGATAAAAATGAAAATTGGACTGTCTCTTACTCTAGGCATTTTACAGTTTCTGTGAGTCTAACAAAACCATCTGTCACCAAGGTCCCTTACCGCCTGAAAGGAATCACATCATCTTCCTTGAAAGGACTGTTAATCGCACAGTAATCCCTACTAATCACATTGTAATCAGCACTCACAGGGCTAGAGGTCCCCAGTTCTTAATCAGGATGTTTTCATCCTCATTCTTGTGAGATAGCGTTCAGTAATCCCTAAATCTTCTGTTCATTTCTTCTCAGCTTCCTAATTATTTCCCTAGATGAAGACAGGAGCTCTCTAGATAAGGGAAACCAGAGCTCTCTGGCTTGAACTAGTCCAGGAGACCATAGCAATCCCAGGGTGAGTTTTCTGATGTCTGACCATGACTTTTAATTTTGGGTAATGAAGATAGATCCTTAAAAAAAAAATACCCCCCCCCAAAAAACCCCACCAAACCACCACCACCACTACCACTCTCTTCCCCCATCCCTGCCCCCTTCCCCTCCTCCACCTCTATCTGCCTATCTCTTCCTTTCTTAGTCTTTAACTGCTTTTCTCCTTCAACTTCACATCTTATTTAGCAAAATTTGGGGTGAGAAGCAGCTCATTTGGGCCTTCTACATCCTTAAAAGGCTTTAGCTCCTGATTCATAAACTTTCTTCTTTTTGTTGAATTAAGTTGAGGAAATTTTTCTGTAGCTAAATTGCAGGGAGTTTTGTTTTTTAATCATAAATGGATGTTGCATTTAGTTAGATGTTTTCTCCTGCATGTATTAATATGATTAAAATTAATCGCAGTTACGATTAATATGATCTCACCATTTTTCCTTTTTAGTTTGTTGATGGGACAAACTGATTTTTTTCGTTCTTTTGTATTTTTGGGTACAATACCTCAATTCTTTTACACGAATACACACTTTCTTTGCCCTTTTCCGTTTCCCGTCGTACTCCCTGAAAGGATGAACAACACTCATCGCACCTTTCAGAGTCTTGCTGTCTTGTTAATGATGAATATTCCCGTTCCTTCTTTCTTCTTTCCCCTCTGTCACCAGTTTCAGATTCTGTGTTATTTTCTCACCTGGCAGTGATTTTCTTCTTTATATAACACTAGTCATAAAGTCTGTTTGGGGGCTGGAAAGATGGCCCCTTGGATAAAAAGCTTGCTGTATAGACATGAGAGCTGGACTTCAGATCCTCAGCACTAACATAGAAGCCAGCAGGGTGGCAACCCACCAGTAGGCCATTACTCATGAGGCAGAGAGTGAACTTCAGGGGCAGCTGGCTAGCTAGATTAGCCCAACCTGTAAGTTCCAGGTTCAGTGAGAGACCCTGCCTCAGAAAATGACGTGGAGAACTATTGAGGAAGTCACCAGACATCAACTTCAGGCTCCCACATGCACACAGGCACATTATATCTGCGTACACCCATGTGCCCATACACAGTCAAACACATAAACATATGTATATGTATATGTACATATACATATATATGAAGTCTGTTTTACTCTAAAATTATTCATTTAGTTAAAAACGTAAAATATGAAGGACCTATTATATGCCAGGCACCAAACAGAAAGTCATTCCCTACTTAAGTCTGAGGTACCACATCAGTACGTATCTCTTGCTCACAACTTAAGTTTAAATTTGTGACTTTTTTATTGTAAAATGAATAAATCTTTATTTATGGGATTTCACAAGACTTCTAGTGCTGTCCATCAAGGTGGCAGAAGTACAAGATAAGCCGGACAATCCTTTCTCAAAGAAGCAGGTATTTCTTAATCTAGTTGTGCTATCAGTCCTTATTAGCAACTGAGATTTACACTATATGCCCTAAAGCATGCAGTGTTGACAATTTGCAGTGTGGTTCTGAAAATCCTCATCAGCAATAAAATGTTCCCAGCAGGTTGATTGCTAGCAAAGTAGCACACAGAAGAACCTAGTGGGAGTGGTTTTTTATGGTCATGTCCACAGTAAATTTGTGACTTTAAAATAAACAATTGAGAAATGAACCTTTTGCTCTTGGTTATGTAAATAATAATTATGGTCAGGCATGGTGGTATAAACCTGTAATCCCAGCAACTGGGAAGGCTGAGACAGGAAAATGGTGAGTCCAAGTCAGCCTGGGCTACATAGCCACCCTTTATCTCAGTAAGTAGATAGATGATAGACAAACAGATCACTAGAAAGTTGGGCCCTCCTGTCTGCAGTCTCTGTGTCCTGATCCCCACCCTATAGCATATTATCAAATTTTCAAGCCTATGCCTAATCTCTGTGCTTCTCTGTAGTTGAAGGGAACAGCCTGAGGATGAAGACTGCATGCAGAAGTCTGGAGTGCTGTGGTTTCTCTCCAAGAACGTAGATGAAGGGCAGTAGTCCTCCACATTGGTCTTCATGCCTTCTGTTTTTCTCCTGTCTGGTCAGAGATCTCCCTAAAGGGCACCACTGATTTTCTCTTCCTCTATAATTCAAGGGTTTTCAGCATCACAGAGTTATCCAATCATCACTATTGCAGTATTCCCAAAGTCACATTACTGTTACACCTGAATAAATAAACACCCTGACTCTTAGCATTTGTCTTAAGGGCAAGAGTGGACCTGAACTCCCTGAGCACCCATTCCTTCAGAAGTCTCACAGAACTGTGCACTTGAGCCAGCTTCACTCTTTCTTTTATTGAAACAGTATCTCCAGCATGAATTGGGGGAGTAGAAGTCAAGACCCACCCTTACCTTTTTTTATTTTTTATTATTTTATTTTGTGTGTATGAATGTATTGCCTGCATGTATGTAAGTGCACATTTTTTGTGCAATACCCACAGAAGTCAGAAGAGGGCATCAGATACCCTGGAACTGGAGTTATGGACAGTTATTAGCTGCCATGTGGGTGCTGGGAACCAAACCCAGGTCCTCTGAAAGTGCAGCTAGTGCTCTTAACCACTGAGCCTGACCCACCCTTATCCAATCAGAGAGTCTTGCCCTTTGATCCTAGGCCTAGAATATCACATACATCCTTTCAAGCAGACTTCTCAGTTCTTCTCACTGGTTTTAATAAGAAAAACATGCTACTTCCAGCACTTTGATATGTTAACCATGCATACCCACATTTTTTCACTATCTTGGGTGGAGGGTAAGATGGAGCCCTGAAGGATTAAGACCATATGCCCAGGTCACTAGATCACATGGCTCAGTAAGCTTGTTTACATTATAAAAATTAATTTTTTGGTTGCAAGATTATGTTAGTCTTTAGTCCAGATTATAGCTATAGTATAAAAGTCATCCCTGAACAGCACAAGTTTTACAAGGCTTTCACCTCTCCTGGAAACCTCACACCCTCTAGCTACCATGTCCCAATCTTCTCAGTCCCCTTCCTTGATCTGAACATTTCATACAAATGGAATAGACTCTGTAGTGTTTGTGACTGACCTTTTCCACTAGCATAGTAATTCCAAGGGTCAGTCATCTCTAGTATGGATCACTATTTCATGCCTATTTTTGGTCTTTTTCAAACAGGTCATGGTCTCCCTGTACCCCAGCTGGCCTGGAACTCACTATGTAGACCAGGCTGGCCTCGAACTCACAGAGATCTGCCTGCCTGTGCCCCCTAAGTGCTGGGATTAAAGGCATGCACCACCATGCCCAATTTATTTTATTCCCTTTTATCACAGAATAATATTCCATTGTGTGATTATATCACATTCATCATTTTTACAGTTAATGGGGGTTTGTGTTTACCCTCTGCCTTTTAGCTATTGTGAATAGTTTTAAACATTCATTTATAAGTGCTTGGGTACATACTTAGGAGTGGAATGGCTAGAGCATATGGCAACTTTTAAAAATTTTGAGGAACTGGGGGCTGGAGAGATGACTTAGTGGTTAAGAGTACTTACTGCTTTTGCAAAGGACCCCAATTCGGTTCCCACACCCACATGGAGTAGCTCACAACTGCATGTAATCCAGTTCCAGAGAATCTGACACTCTCTTCTGGCTTCTGTAAGCACTGCACATTTGAGCACGTGGTTTAAGGTAATAAAATGCTTACTTGTCCCAGCACCATTTGTTGAAAGATGATCCTTAACTTTATTGAATTGCTTTGGTATCCTTGTTTTAGAAAAAAGCAATTGATCATAAATGTGAGGAATTTTAAAAGACCTGGGCATATGGCCATTTATAGTTCATCTTTTGGCAACTGTCAGTTCATTTCATTATCTTGGTTTCTTTTTTAAGGTTTATTTTTAATTATGTATATGTGTGTGCATTTGTACATGTGAGTGCAGTGATTGCTGAAGGCATTAGGAACCCCTGGAGCTGGAATTACAGGTGGGTGTGAGCCACCAGACATGGTTCCTGGGAATGATACTCAGGTGCTCTATAAGCACAGTCCCCTGAGCCATCTCTCTATCCCCTCATAAGGCCATTGTTCTAGTTTGTTCTTCATTGCTGTGACAAAATACTCTGACCAATACCAACTTGGGGAGGAAAGGGTTTATTCAGCTTACATCTCCCAGGTCGCAATTTATCAGGGAGCCCAAGGTAGGAACTCAGGGCAGGAACCTGGAAGCAGGAGCTGGAGCACAGGCCATGGAGGGACTCTGCTTACTGGGTTGCTTCTTGGCCCCTGCTCAGCCAGCTTTCTTATGCAACACAGGCCCACCTGCCCAGGGGTGGCACCACCCACAATGGTCTGGGCCCTCCCACATCACTCATCAAGAAGATACCCTTCAGACATGGGCACAGGCCAGTCCAATAGAGGCAATTCCCCAACTGAGGCTCCCTCAACCCAGGTGTGTCAAGTTGACACTAAAGCTATCCAGCACAGCCATTTTCTCATTGTGTTGTTTGACTTCTTGTTGCTTGGTTGTTTGAGTTCTTTGAATATTCTATATATTAATCCTGTCACATGTATAGCAGCAACATTTTTCTCCCGTTTTGTAGGCCACCTCTTTGCGCCATTAACAATTTCCTTTACTGTGAAAAAGACTTTTAATTTATACGACCCCATTTGTAAATCGATGGCATTATTCCTAACTGGAGTCCCATTCAGAAAGTCCTTGCTTATGCCTATGTCTTGAAGTATTTTCCCTACTTTATCTCCTAACAGCCTTACTGTTTCTGGTCTTACATTAAAATATCTGTCCCATTGTAGTTGATTTCTCTACAAGGTGAGAAATGGGGATCTACTTTCATTCTTTGACATTTGGCTATTCATTTTTCCAACAACCCGTTGTTAAAGAGACCGCCTTTTCTCCAGTGTGTGCTTTTGGCCTTGTCTGGATACCGTTAGTGTCAACTTGATACACCTGGGTTGAAGGAGCCTCAACTGGGGAATTGCCTCTATTGAACTGGCCTGTGGCCATGTCTGTGGGGCATCTTCTTGATTGTTGAGTGATGTGGGAGGGCCCAGCCCACTGTGGGTGATGCCACCCCTGGGCAGGTGGGTCTGTGTTGCATGAGAAAGCAGGCTGAGCAGGGGCCAGGGGAGCAAGCCAGTAAGCAGCATTTCTCCATGGCCTGTGCTCCAGCTCCTGCCTCCAGGTTCCTGCCCTGAGTTCCTACCTCGGGCCCCCTGATGAACTGTGACCAAGGAGATGTAAGCCAAACAAACCCTTTCCTCCCCAAGTGGGTAGTGGTCAGAGTGTTTTGTCACAGTAATGGAGAACCAAACTAGGATAGGCCTCTTTGTCAAAAACTCAGGTGGCTATAGCTGTGTGGGTTTATATTTGGGCCCTTCATTCTAGTCCATCAGTCTACCTGTCCCAGTACGTGATGTTGTTACTGTGGCTCTGCAGGCTAACTTGAAATCTTACTTCCTTGGTCTATATGTTATGTTTCCCCAATACTACACTGTCTTGACTACTTGCAGCTTTATGACAAACTTTAAAATTGGGACATAGGAATTTCCTGATATTGTAGGAATTTCCTGATATTGTTTTGGCTTCTCCATGTTCTTTACGACTCCCTGTGAGTTTTAGGATCTGCTTGTTGATCTCTATAAATAAGCCCACAGAGTCCTGATAGGGGCTCCATGGAATCTGTTGGCTGCTGTGGTAGTTCCATCTTAACAATGTTAAATCTTCTGGTTTGTGAACACAAGGCATCTTTCTCTTTTCTGACCTATTGAAAACTTTTTCAACAAATTTTGAGATTTTCAGAGTAAAAATTTTTCATTTCCCTGTTAAATTTACTCTTAAGTTTTTAAATTGTTTTTGATGTTATTGCAAGTAGATTTACTTTTTAAATGTTATTTTTGGATTTTCATTGAAATGCAATTGATTTTGCATGTTGATCTTGTATCCTAGTAAACTTAATTATTAGTTTTAATCATATATGTGAATTTTCACTATGAAAGATTAAGTCATCTACAAATAAAGATAATTCTATTCCTTGTTTTCCAGTTGAGATGCCTTTTATTTCTTCTTCTTATCTGGTTGCCCTGGTTACTGCCTCCACACAATGCTGAGCAGAAGTGATGAAAGCAGACATCTTTCTCTTGTCATTGACCATTGGGAAGAAAATTCAGCCATTCACCATAATGTTAGCTATGGACTTTCCAAGATGGACTTTATCATTCAAAAAGCTGTCCACTCTTTCTAGTTTGCTGGAATTTTTTTAATAATGAAAAAGAAATGCTTTTTCTGTATCTATTGAGATAATTGTGTAGTGATTATGATTTTATTCTGATAGAGTAGAATTTGTGTGTGTGTGTGTGTGTGCGCGCACACACGCACTCACGTGTGCATGCACTCACTCATGCATGCATCTGTGGAGCCCATAGTGACATGTCACTAATACACTGGTCTCATAGAACATGCTGGGAAGTGCTCCCCTGTCTTCTCATTTGGAGAAGAATTCATGAGAAAAACCGACATTAACAAGTCTGTAAATATTTGGTAGAATTTACCCAACAAAGTCAGAATTGTCTTTTTAAAAAATCTCCCAGAAGCTGGAGAGATGGCCCAGCTGTTAAGAGCACTGACTGTGCTTACAGAGGACCTGGCTTCAGTTTCTAGCACCCACA